GCTGCGTCCAGGGTTAAGTGCATACTAGATCTCAGATTAGATGAAGAATGGGGCGCATCAGGTGAGATTATGGGTTTCTGACTAACTGCTTGACCTTAGTTTAAGTTGTACTCAGTTACGTTAACCATGTATATGATTTCAGCTTTAATTAAGTTGTACGGAGTTATATTAACTATCGGGGGCTAGACAGAGGGTCTAGCAGAACCGCTGATTAATGTTTGAGTATTACATGGGTAACTGTAGGGGGCTAAACAGACCTACTATTTAAAGCATATTAAATAGTATTAGCCACAAACCTCTGGCTAAGGATCAAACTGACGAGTTTGTGATCGTGGGGCCCACGCATAGCGGCCGCCATGAGGCACCCTGAGCAACATAGATTCCTAATGAACGAATAAATATAAGTAAAGAGTTAACTAGAATAATCGAATGTCAGAATAATTAGAGACCGACAAACAACCAATTTGCCTTTCAACCTAAATTCGAGGTCATACTAAAATGGAGTCAGATTTGAGTTAAAGCTAAATTGAATAACTCTGTGCGCTGAAAAGAACGAACATGCAAGAAACCTTCATCCACCACTGGATACCTTCATTGGGCCAAGTGTGTGGACCTTACAAAGTGGTGACCCCCGACGTGATCTCCTTACAAAGCTGTGACCCCCGACGTGATCTCCCTACATTCATGTAATGGACAATGCTTTGGCAATACTGTGCAAGTCATGCCAATAAAGCTCATTTGAATTTGAATTTGAGAGAGAGAGAGAGAGAGAGAGAGAGAGAGAGAACAGGTAAGATGCCAGAAAGCCTTTTTGTAATTTCTTCGTAAAGAAAGTCCATTATTCAGGACTCGGGTTAACGACGGGATTGGTTTGCAACAGGTGAGGTTGTCATAGAAACGCAAAAGAGTCGAGGGAGAATACAGAGCATTCTGGGACGAGGTTACTGTGGTGCACCAAAAAGAGATGAACAGGGTTATTATAGTGAACTGAAACTAAAACCATTAATAAAAACCACACACACACACACACACATACACATTTTTGCTACTTGAAATTAAATGTTAACTGAAACATAGCAAAATATTTTTGAAAAAATATTTTTTAAAAGGTATAGAGTACATTTATATTGCCAAATAAATACTTCCCATTTTCATTTAGTTTAACTTAACATAATAAAATAACTAAAACTGAAAAAATGAATAACATCTATATACACATTATTAAAAAAAACAACAACAACAATGTAATAAAAATAACTAAAACACACAACAAAATGAATAAAGCTTAAATGAAAATTAAGATAAAAACAGAAAATACAAAAATAAAAAATAAAAACTATAAGAGTATCTAAAATAACACTTGAGTAGACGGCATATTTAATCTCACAAATCATTGTTGAACTATTTTAGTTGTCAAAACATAAAGAAAAATGCTGCAACATTCCCTAACCATAGAAATATTTTTGCTGACATAATTATTGGATATTAAGATATTTTAGGGCAAGAACAATATTGATTGATAGGTTCAGTACCAGTCAAAATTTTGGACTTATTTACTCATTTTTTATTATTATTTTAGAATAATAGTTAAGTTATTAAAACTGGGAAAACATGGGAATGATAATAATAATAATAGTAAAAAATTCACCAAGTACATTAAAACTTTTTACTAGTATTGTACACATTGTTTTATGAGAAACAGGATTCATTAAATGAAAAAAAAAAACTTAAATAGCACATAAAAACAGTACAGTAATCTGGTAAAAAAAATCAATTATTTTATTTATAAATATTGTAAAGGGATAGTAATTTGTGGAACGTGTTAGGAGTGATTAATTCGCTACCCAATGGCTCCCCCTGCTGGATTGGAGGTTTTATTAACTCAGTACAAGAGTTAACTATAAATGCCAGGCAGCCATAAAAACACACAGTAGATAATAAAGTCCCATGGAAAAGGTAAAATTCATGGACACTGATGATAAAATAAGGGTCACACCCACCTGAACTAATCTGCAGTCCAATGTGACTATCTGCAACTTGTCTTTCCTGTGTGGAAATTCAAAGTAATGAGCCGAGTCTTAATGTAGTTCTCAACTGATCATATTGGAGCTCAGTCCTCTTCAAGGTCAGAGGTCGCCAAGCAGCGGGTCAGAGAGGTCAAATAGAGGGCGGTGGTTGCTATGGGCGACATTCCTGCAGACACTTTCAGGATGTTGAGGAGCCACACGGCTGCTGTGTTCACGCCATCTGCCGTCTGAGACAGAGAGAGCAATGTGCTGTAACACACGTCTGCCTGATCTGTGAATCCTAAAAAATAAAATGTATCAGTTTCCACAACAATATTCGTCAGCACAACTGTTTTTAACATTGATAATAATCAGAAATGTTTCTCGAGCAGCAAATCCTCATATTAGACTGATTTCTGAAGATCATGTAACACTGAAGACTGGAGTAATTATGCTGAAAATACAGCTGCGCATCACAGGAATACATTAGTTTACAGTAGATTCTCATAAAAAAGGTTATTTTAAATTGCAATTATATTTCGCAATTTTACTGTATTTTTGATCAAATAAATGCAGCTCTGTTGAGCAGAAGAGACTACTTTCTAAAACATTAAAATCATGCCATTTAAGCAAATGATCAGTAAAGGAGGCGCTTGACCTTCAGAAAATGCTGTTCATTCATCTCAAGCTCAAACCAAATGTCATAGAAACATTTTATCAACTATGTATTTTGCTTACATTGCTACCAAAACGGAACTCACGTGAAAACAGATTAAAACCCTGAACTGTGTGATATCATTAGCAAAAAACAAAACAAAACAAAAAAAACATCAAAAAATTAAATAAAAAGCAACATGTTTAAACTTTTTTTGAATGCATTTGACTTTAAATGCATTTTTCAAGAGTACAGTTCATTTCTTTTTGTGAAAAACTGTAATGAGAAAAAATTAGTGTGTGCATGTTTATAATAGTTGAATAAGGCTCTGGCTCACCATCAGTGACCAGGAAGCAGTCAGAGTGCAGATGAGTGAGAGAGCTTTCCACTGACTGAAGACTGAGAGAGATCCGGGTACCTGCGCTCTGACAGCAGGTTCACTATAAACACTACTAAATCAGTGGCTGTTTACACTAATAATTATTATTCCATACATCGTCCCGTCCATTCAAACATAAAAATTACTATTAGTAACTGTTATTATTATTGATAATAATAAATAACACACACTAAATGCACTCACACATTGACGTTGAAATCTTTCTCATATCGCACTGTTGGCTAGTTTGGACTGCAGCTCCTCCTCGTTTTCAACCAGCTATTACGATACACATAAAAACATTGAGATTAATTTGTGTTGTTATATTAGACTATATAAACAGCATCAGTGAGACGAGCTCGGGCAATTTACTGTACGGAATCAGGAGCGCCATGATGAGGTATATCACAAATGAGTATTATTCAGCAAGGATGTTAAATTTTATAAAAAGTGATAATAAAGACTTGTATTGTTAGAAAAGATAAAAATAAAAATAAAATAAAATAAAACATTTTAAATAAATGCTGTTCTTATTCATCAAATAATCCTGTAAAAAGTATCACAGGTTCAAAAAAAAAAAAAAAAGCAGCAAAAAAAAAAACAGCGCTTCCTCCTCGCGCTTATTTTCAAAGTCCCCGCGCGTGACGTCACAGAAATGGCCTCACACAGTCATGATCTTAAAATTATTGATATCAAACTTTTAATTTCGTTTTGGAGAAAACGGACGGGTTTTGTTCAAATTAAAAATAAAAAATTCCTGTGAGGTCTGTATCGCACGTATTATAATGACATCAATGAGGGTTGCCAGGTTTTCACAACAAAAACCGTCCATTTGCTGCTCAAAACTAACCCGACCGCGGGTGGGGGTCAAATACATGTGTTTTGTTTCTCTGGTAAGATCTACATTCCAGGGGCTAAATATCACGTTATTGCTTCAACCCGCGGCAACAGTGTTACAATTCCGCGGGAAAACCGCGGACCTGGCAACACTGATTCAACCTCGCTTACTCTGATACAAGTTATCAACTAATATCAAACACTGGAAATATGCTGACCTGCAATTAAATAGCTATTTGTCAGCTCTAACCCTTACATTTATTTTGGTTTGTGTAACCTAATGTATTTAGATTGAGTCCGTGATGTTTAATTACATGTTATACTTCAATAAATGAATTAATTTAGATGTAACAACACGCAGCATTTTAAGTGAAGTGGTCTTCTGATACTTTAACACTTTTGTTTCATTGCAAACACTGGTATTTCCGTGCAGAAATGGAAATAAAGTATTAACATTCAAATTTATTTCAGCAGAGGCAGAAAATGGATTCAAATGAATTATTTTTAAACAATGAAAGCAAGAGATTTATTTCATAGCATAATGACAAGGCAAGATGAAGTTTCAAGACAACCTCTCAACACAGCAAAACGAAAGAGTGATAAAAGGGGGAAAGAGAAACTTGCACACATCACGGTACCATGAGAAATAACCTAAGCCGAGATACAAACGCATGTGGTTGTGTGTGGAAAAACTGGTGTGGGTTTTGTGGAGAAAGACAAAAAAAAAAATCACAAAATCCAGGTTTACTGCTCAGTTCAGCTCTGAGTTTAGATTCATATCAAATGAGGAAAAAACAGGAGACAATAATATCAACATCAAAATAATCATTTAAGGAGCTTTAATTATTAAAAAAGGAAAAAAAAAAAAATTGAGTAGCCAGTTTAAAAGGATGAAAAAGCCTTCTCCTGTGGTGGTTTTATATTCCTGCAGGTTTACCTTCATCCACCTCTCCTTATTTTGCAACATAAAAAATAAACTACTTCTAAATGCACGCTTTCCCTTTACAGCACTTCTGTCAAATGCTCTTTTGGTTTGCTGACTAGTTTGGATCAACTAGATCAAAGTGTGTAACTCTTGCTGTCTGAGGCGTCATCTGTATCTCGAATAATGATGCTGCTTTCCCCTCTACAACACTTCTGTTCAAATGTTCTTTTGGTTTGCTGACTAGTTTGGATCAACTAGATCAAAGTGTGTAACTCTTGCTGTCTGAGGCGTCATCTGTATCTCGAATAATGATGCTGGTCCCACACACACACACACACACACACACACACACACTCTCTCTCTCTCTCTCGCTCTCTCTCTCTGTGACTGGCTTCCTCTCTGTAGCCGCTGAGCTTCTACTGATGTATGAGTAACCGGACTGAAAGCTCATCCAGTTATTGACAGATCAGTGTGGGCGACTGCCGGCTATGAGACGGAGCAGGGATCGGTAGCTACAGTAAAGTATCTGAATCTTTCCCTCTAGATCTCTCCGGACTCTCTCTCCTCGGAGCTGGAGCGCTGATCTCTCTCCAGCGACACGGATCTCTCCCGCTCTTTCATTAGGCTCATGTCTGGGGAGACGGGGGATCTTTCTCTCTCCATGTCCCTGCGTCCGTTGTCCCACCATCTCTCGTCTGCGGTGTTCTCCCTACATCTCTCCTGAGACAGAGGCTGCTCCTGATCTCTGGTGTGTGAAGACCTGCAGAAATGTATCAGTATCTGAGTGAGTGTGACAGGCAACAATGGGAATATATATATATATATATATATATATACATACACACACACATATATATAATAAAATATTTATTTTAACTAATCAATTTTAACCAAGTAATTACTTCACATCAACACAAATATTTAAATGCTATAAATTCTAAATGTTAATTTTATTAAGTAAAAAGTAATAAAAATTCCACATAAAAATTTAACCCATTTTAAAAATGTTAAGTAATTAAAATTTCAAATATAAATGTAATCATTTAAAGCTAATTTCAAATGATTTAAAATAGTTTCAAATAATTAAAATTCCAAATATAAATTACTTACAAAATCCACAATTTCAAATAGTTTAAATTCCAAATCCAAATCTAGTCATCTAAAAGTAATTTCAAATTATTTAAAATGGTTTCAAATAATTTGAATTCCAAATATAAATGGATTAATAATTTGTAAATAATTTTCAATTGTTTAAATTCCAAATATAAATTATTCATTTTAAAACAATAGCCATTGCTTTATTTACAATTGATCATGACCATTTAACACAAAACACAGCATTTATTTTAACTGAACATTGGTCTGATTGTCAATGATATCGTTTACACTTATTTTATTTTAAATAATTTAAATTACAAATACAAATAGTTTAATAATGATTTCCATTACTTGATTTTAAATTGATCTGGCTCTAAAACGTGAACTATGACCATGTAACACACCACGTGTACTCCTTTTCATTGAACACTGGTATCTTATCATAATGTTGTTGATTACACTGATTTTACCACATTTATCTGCCCTTGACTATAGCAAAAATCACTGTAAATCATGCCCTATTGCTCAAATGTAATAGTCCCTCCACAAAAGACCTCAGACAGGTTAAGTCAAGCTGACGTTGTTGTGGTACCTCTTCCTTTTGCTCCTGTGTGAGTGCGAGCGAGAGCGATGGCGATCTTTGTGTCTGTGCTTCCTCTCCCTGTCTCGTTCCCTCTCTCCATCCTCACGGTGCCGACGAGAGCGATGAGAGGACGAGCTTCCTCCTTCCCTAAAAAGCAGAGAGAAATATATATATATATATATATAGCACATACATATGATACTGCTCCAGATGTTATTAGTTAGGAAGCTGATCCTCACCGATGTCGCTCACCACTTCTGGATCTGGACCTAAGAGAGGGATGAAGAATAACTTAAAGAAAGACAATCACGATAAAACACTTGTGCATTCTGTGTTACAACAAATATTTGATAGTTTTTTTATTTATTTAAATGTCAGATAGTTTGATTCATTTCTGTGAGACAGCTCTTTTAAGCTTCAGTGAATCAGTTCAAAACACTGCTTCAACAATTTGCGCGTCAACTCTTTAAAAATGTTCACAGGAGTCTCTGTGTGACATTTCACATCTTTAAAGCATGTGTAACTACTGCTTTACTACATCTCCATATTAAAGAGCAAAATCACAAAATTGATCATTGTTAATTAGATTTGGCTTAGTTCTTGAAGTTTTTGAGTTACTATTCGATTCTGAATCTATTTGGCTGTTTAGTCTATATTATGAACTGAAACAACACTGAACTGACTTGAGCTGAATAATGACACTACTGTGTCTTTAGAGCTGCTTTATAATTGAATTGAGTCTGTTCCATAATGAACTTTGCCATATCAACACTGTTACTGAATCAACATTGAACTGAATCAAACTGGATAATGACACTAACTTTGCATCACTGTTATTGAATCTGAACTTAAATGAATCAACATTGAAAAGTGAATCTGAAATGAATCAGCCCTTAACTGAGCTGAATAATGACACTATTGCCTTCTGTAGAGCTGCTTCATAGTTTGAGTTCATGTCATAATTGATGAACTTTGCAAAATCAATAGTGCTACTGTTATTGTATATATGAACTGAATCTGAACTACTTGAATCAACGTTGAATATAGAATGCATCTAAACTGAATCAACACAGAACTGAGCTGAATAATGATACTATTGTCCTCTGTAGAGCTGCTCTAATGCTGAAATTGAGTTTGTTTCAAAACCAATTATTTTTACAACCTTACTATTTATTTTCTTATTACATTGCCTTATTTTACTGTTTATTACTGTGAAGCTGCTTCGAAACAATTAGTATCGTATAAAGCACTACAGAAATAAAAGTGGCTTGATTTGCCTTGACTATTACAGCTCAACTAATTGGAAGCAAAGTACATAAATATCAAGATACTTTTTCAGCTATAATACAAAGGCCTCATTATGATTTCAACACATTTTTGTGAATGAAATGAAAGCAGAACACAGAGACAGACCTCCTGCGTTCCCTCTCTCTGTCTCTCTCTCGCTCGCGCTCCCTCTCTCTCTCTCTTTCTCTCTCGCGCTCTCTCTCTTTCTCCATCTCCCACTCTCTGGCTCGCTCCTCTTCTCTGTCGCGCTCTTCTCTTCTCCTCGTGCGCATGCGTTCCTGTTTCTCCGTCACAGCTTTCTGCAAATCACAGCAGATCGTCAATGAAGAGCTGTGTGACAACAGCCCGACTGAGCTCTGTGTGCTCCATCTCACCCTCAGTTTTTCAAGTTTTTCACGGATTTCGATGAAACCTATATGAAGTTTCCCTCCAAAGTGGTCGGCGAGGCGGCGGTCGTTGTCGTGGAGACCGAGGTAAGCAGAGCAAACCTCACACACCCGCAGCTTCTGCTGCTGGAAGCTGGAGGCCGGCATGGAGTTGCGGTATATGTCCTAAACACAATAGCATATTTACTTGTAATAGTGTGATTAGAACACCACAATCAAATTTAATTTGTGCTTCGAGTTCTACAGGTAGTACGGAGGACTACAATGATATTTCCACCTGGCCACCATGACCTTTGACCCCACACTGACCTCTGCCTCTTTCTTCAGGGTGCGTGTTTTCTCCATCTTCTCCAGGACCTGCTGAGCCTCCTCCACGTTTCCCTCGCCGCCCAGTTGCTCCGCACGCGCCAGCAGCTTCCCGATCTCCTCGTTCAGCTCGTGCACACGCTCCGCCTGCCGATCACAGCACATAGAAAATCAGAGAACATGAAGACTTCAAGTTACAGCTGTAAAAACAGACAAGATTCATAGTAAGGGTCAGAAAGTGGGGCAAATGGGCATGACAAATGAAATTATTTGTGGTTGAAAATAAAAGACTTCGAATAATGCTATAAACTGATCTCAGGCAAAATAACTCAATGCTACCAAATGGCAAGATATTATGGAAGCCTATTTCTGCCACAAAATATATATATTTTTTTTTTTATTTAAAAATTGACTTTTTATCTACTATTCTTACTTCTCGCAATCACAAATTCAACTCACAATTCCGAGTTTACATCTCGTCAACTGAATTTTTTTACTCATAATTCTGACATTTTTTTACTCAGAATTCAGAGTTTATACTTCACAATTCAGACTTTTTCTCAGAATTCTTCTTACATCTTGCAATACAGACTTCTTTTCTCAGAATAGTGTGTACATCTCACAATTTGGACTTTTGTTCTGATAAAACAGAGTTTACACTTCGCAATTCTGACTTTTTCCTCAGAATTCTATGCTAATATTCTACAATTCAGACTTTTCCCCTCAGAATTCTGACTATCTCCCAATTCTAACTTTTAGTTAAAACTTCAAAATATAAATTTAAAATTCTAAAAGAAAACATCAGATTTGCAAAAAATAAAGTCAGAATGTTGAGATTTTGCAATCAGCTTTTTTATTCTGTGGTGGAAACAAGGTTGTGTAGGATATGATCCCTTAAAAAAAACACACACACACAAAAAAAACAAAATACAGATTGAGTGGACTTCTTTTCTGTTTGCATGTATTTGCTATCGAAACAGGAAGTTGGAAAAGGACACACTGAAGGGCCCATTTATATCAGAGCTGTGGACCAGGACTCACTACTTGCTGGTTTGTGCACAAAACGCAGGTGTGCGAAACTTCAGTATGAAAATTATGTGCAAGTGAAATCTCGTGTTGCAGAGAAACGTTAAGGGATTCCCCAGCACAGATCGTCAGGTTTTACCTTAGCAGCCACTTCAGCGCTGATCTCTTCCTGCGTTTCGGCCAGCCGTTTCTTGGCCAGTTCGGTTCTTCGGTCACAGTCTGCGATGAAGGACTGCAGGTGCTCCGCGGCCTGAGGAGACACGCCACAATCAGCCATTTATGAGCAGTTTACACACACACAGTCAAATGTGTATGAATGGAAAGGGTTTATACTCACATCCAGCTCAAAGAAAAACTCCTGCTGTTTAGATGCGATCTCGTAATCTGCTCTCAAAGCGAGATCGTGAATCTTCACACACTCCCCCAGATCCATGCGCTACACAAACACAACCATTTAGAAACCTCAGGCAACTTCTCAACGTTTTTGATGTCATAATGCAACTGTGGCGTAGCATAAATGAAGAATTGCAATTAACAAACAGGTTTTAGATGAGTAAAGTCAAACCCATAGAGATGAGGAGTGATAATGAGACGCTTACGGTTCCAGACAGTATGTCATGTGGACACGACTCCAGCAGATGACTCTTACACACCCGCTCGTCCGTGAACTTGATCCGCTGTCTCATCGTGTCTCCTGCGAGAAACCAGATCCACACATTATGAGCATCAAAAATCATCAAATCAAGCCACAATCTAACCATGATTCTCATCGTGACAAAAAAACAACGAGACACACCATTCAAATGAACAGCACTGTAAACAGCAATTCAAATCACGATTCTCATAAAAAAAAAAAAAATCATGACAATTACAAGACTGTTGATCAAATGACAATTTTGACCTCATTATGACAAAAAAAAAGAATTCTTTTAATAATTTGTAAGATAATGTAATTATGTCAAGCAAAACGTGAATCATGGCAAATGAATCATCATATTCATGATTCTCATATAACAATACATTTTTTTACAAAATCATGCCAAAAAGGTAGAATGAAATCAAATTGACAATGTCAACTTATATCAACCAAATCATGATTCTGATCATGGCCAATTAATAACTGATCATTAACTATTTGATTCTCATCAAATCACATCAAAGGATTTCTGACAGATATAAAATCATTCCAGACAAAACATTTATGACATTTATGATTTTTCAAATCAAGTCAATAAAAATCAAGAGAACCAATCATTTTGTTTAGCAAATTATTTAAAGAAAACGAGGGGATAACACAAATGATAGTAACTGCAGAAAAATAATGAAAATCAAAATTATGACAGTTCTGTTCATCAGTTCATCAAATTACAGTTCTGACCAAATCATGCCAAAAAAACTGAACAATCATGATCAGTTATGTCAACCAAATCATTTGAGTTGTGTGATTCATATCATGGTAGATGCACCATAACAATCATGATTCTCATCAAAGAATTTCTGACTGATATGAAATCATTCCAGTCAAATCATGATTCGGGAGATTCACGATTTTTAATTAAATTCAAATCGAATTAAATGATTTCTCGTGCGAATTAATTAGAATCACGAAACCATGCCAATCAAAGAGTGACAATAACACTAATTACAAAGTCGTGGCGACGAAATCATGGGAGTCATCAGTCTGACGTGTTTCCGTTTATCAGATCAGAGTTCAGAGATATTAAATGATTTCACCAACCCACGAGAGCAATGAAACCGTGACTTTTTAACAGGTCTGTCAAACAAATCGCTGGAGTATAAATGCATACAGTATACGTTAAAGCATCAAATCGAGTCCGTTGAAGTAACGAATCGCTGACTGAATCAAATGCATGGTTTAACGTGGTTTCGATTTGATGAGACTGAAAGAAGCACTCACCATCTCTGCTAGTGCCCATGAGCTGGTCCAGCATGGCTCTCATCTGCGCCTGGGCCGACATCTTCACCTGTTTACCTCTACACGTGTGAAGGAGTTGATTAACTCCTCATACAGCAGGCCTCAACACAAACGGCCGCCGAGAAGACAAATCCCCTCCTGTACCTCACTAACACACTTTCTACTGACACCACGCACACTCCTGTCTTTCAAATCCTCCGGAATGCGCAGTTTTTAGTTGAAATATCGCTGAAATCAGTCATAAATCAGTGAGTTAGCATCGTGCGTTAGCAGCAGCGGCTAACTCTTCCCCAACGCCCCTCAGTCCGCCTTATGTGCGCTTATTTATCAGTCCTAGCGCTGCTTTATCAATCCGCAGTTCAATATTTAGTGTAATGGTCGATATTCGCAAAGTTTTGACAGTGTTTATTTGGTGTTGCTTTATTGTTTTATTTCTTTTTTTTTCCTCTCGGAAAGAGACTTCCGACCCGCGCGCACAGCTCCCGCTTGGTGACGCAACCTCGAGGAAGTGGCGCAGAGCTCGAGCGCTGATTGGCCGACGCGTGGGTGACATCATCACGTCGGCGCCGCTGCGCGAGTGTGAGGTCATCAGAGCATGTGGACCAACATGCTGAGTTTTCGCTACAAAACCTATGGACAAAACTCATGTTAACGTTGTCATTTTTTTCAATGTAAATATGTAATACATAAAAACAAAAACATGAATCTTTACCACGAATGTCCTAAACGTTTGTTTGTTCTTAAACCAACAGTTTTTTTTTTAATTTATGTTTTTTATTGGCACACACAGAGTGCTGGGTAGATTACTTACAAATTGTAGTCCATTACTGATTCCAAATTACAAGATAAAAAATTGTACTTAGTAACGTAATCCATTACATTACACATTTTAGGTAGCCTGATTACTTTTGGATTACTTTTGACCTAACGCGTTTATCACATTGATTTAAATAGGATAATCTTGTTCCACATTGATGTAAAAATACAAAGAGAGAGAAAATTAATTCCATTCGTTGTTATTAAGGACGAAAAAGAAAAATGAGTGAGATTCAATAAATTATGAATGATTTACTGCTGTTGTGTGAATAATATGTAATAAGTAAAAAAGTAACTAGTCTGATTACGGTTATTTTAAAATGTAATCTAATCTAATTACAAGTACTTAATTTTTGTAATCTGATTATGTAATCCAGATTACATGTAATCAGTTACTACCCAGCTCTGTGTATACATACATACAGTTGTGGTTAAAACTTTGCAGAATCTGCGAAACGTTAACTATTTTACCAAAATAAGAGGCATCACACAAAAATGCATGTTATTGTTTATTTAGTCCTGTCCTGAGTAAGATATTTTATGTAAAAGATGTTTGCATATAGTCCACAGGACAAAATAATATCTGAATTTATAAAAATGACCCCTTTCAAAACTCTACATACGCTTGATTCTTACAACTGTGTGCAGTTACCTGGATGATCCACGACTGTATTTTTGTTTTGTGACGCTTGTTCACGAGTCCCTTGTTTGTCCTGAGCAGTTAAACTACTGCTGATCTTCAGAAAAATCCTCCAGGTCTTTGGTTTTGCAGCAGCTTTTTCATATATGAACCTTTTCCAACAGTGCATGACTTTGAGATCCATCTTTTCACACCGACAACTGATGGACTCATACACAACTATTACAAAAGGTTCAAAGATTCCCGCTCCAGAAGGAAACACAACAGATGCATTTAGAGCTTTTAGAATTTGAAGATCAGGGTAAATTGTACTTATTTTGCCTTCGGGGACAAAATAAACATCTAAGCGTCTTCTGAAACATATAAGTAGCTTCTGAAGGGCAGTACTAAATGAAAAATATGATATTTAAACAAAATAATCATCCGGTTCAAAAGTTTTCCACCCCCAGCTTGCGTCACGTCTGCATCTGACAACGAAAACTTGACGTTTTAACTGTAATATGTTTTAGGACCGAGGGGGAACCTGAAAATTCTTAAAGATATAATATGTTATGATTAGTGTAATCAAATTTTAAAAGATCAAGCACTATTTGATTATTCATTAGATGCACGCTTTAATATTAGGTCTCCTTGTTAGCATCTTACGGGTCAATAATTACACAAGAAATGACCACAAACACAACAGTATTGGTTCTCTCTGTTTATTGTACTGATGTGGGACAGACATCTCTTAATTTATGTATGTTGTATATTATATTCATATGTATAAAAAACATCCAGTCTAATAGTTTTTTCTCCAACTACTTCCACAGAATACAAAATCAAACGCAGTTGTGATTATCAATTAGAAGAACGAGAACAAACAGAAACACAAAGAGGTCCTCTCAGACAGACGTCTGTCCACCGTCACACTTCCCATTGATCACAGTCACGTTATTGTTTTGGCACCACAGTTTCGTCTCGTCACAATAAAGCACATGGAAAACATATGAGCTTATTTATCAGCTTGACTCTGCACATGCAACTAACCGTCCTGTGTTTGGATCGTCTGGTGAAGAAGAAAACATCCCATCTATGTGCTCTCTCTGAGCTTGAATAAATATTTAGTTATTTTTGCATTCAATTAAATTTCCGTATAATACAGAGAGAAGTCTCCATGAATGTTTACAGCTTTGGCACACCAGCTAACTGCTTGATTCACAGTTTCTACAAGAGCCAGGCCGTGCATGTGAAGCGCTTCAAAGCATTTCGTCTTTAAATGTTTTAAATCTCAGGTATTTCATTGCTTATATTGTAGATTTAGCCTCTAGTTGTCGAGTGGCGCGTCGTGTCTATAGAGGGCCTCTCAATGTAAGCTTTTTAACAACAGTTTCATCACTAAGAATCACAATTCATGGATATACAGCATATAGATATACATAAAACAAATCATCAGCTCACACAGCCCAATTAAAATAAAAATGAAAAGTAATGTGATGTGAAAAACAAACTTTGTACCTTCAGAACATTACCAAGCCACATGGATGACCTCGAATTATGCTACATATGTCTTCATCATGAATCTTTCCATCTTTTCCTATTCATAGTTCTGGTCTTAAAAATCAAAGAAATTAAATTGGCCAAAATGTTTTGTTTTTGTTTGGAGCTGTATTATATGGGAATTTGGATTAAAAAAATTAGACAAACATGTACAGCTGCTCTAAGTGTTTTGATGCTACATTTTTTTTTAAAAATTATTTAAACAGATGAAACTGTAAAAATGAATGTGCATTTATAGTGTATTTATAGTGCACTTTTTCTTTTTGTAATTTTATTGCGGATGAAAACGAGGCTGTGCAGTCGTGGCACACATCGTATAAAGGTCATAATTTTCACAACTTTCAAAACTGTTTTATGGAGTTTTTGTCAAGCGTACATTTTATTCAAAAGCCTCGTTCAGACTGTCAGCCCAAATCCGATTTTGTGCATATCTGGATGGAATCTGATCTGAATAACTGGCTGTCCACACAGCGTATTGCAACTGTTCATATCCGATTTGTGTGTCCATAAGCGCCCTTTCATTTTTACGGACTGTGCATTGGTTTCTATGGTAATGCCGTTGCGTTGTTATGCCTACGCTAAAAACAACAGTAACAACAATACAGTTTGCAATACAGATATTGTCTTACGACATGACAACATGTTGCTGTCGCAGCTGCGCTGTATTATTATATTTCGTCTTGTGAGGCAGCGGCAGAAACGCAGGAAGCTGGAATGTGCGGCTTTATTCTGTGCTGTCGTCTCCGCTACTTTCAAAACTCAAAGAGGTGCTTATACTAGCAGTATATTGTGTTTTCCCGCTTGACTTGCACTTCGCAATAGTGTTGGGTCGTTCTTGAACTTTAATGTGACTCGGGAAGAACGAGTCGTATCGGGGAGTGATTCGTTCAGTCGCGCATGCGCAACATCCTATAGGTTCTGTACTGGCATTAGTCAAGTAGTTCACCTGTTTCGAGTCTTCGTTCATCACGTGACAGCCCCATAAGCTTAACCTATGCAGTCTGAGCCGGAAAGAGACTTAATAATAATAACCAACTCTTTATTACCTTCGTTACAACATTCAGTGTTATGGAAAATAACCATAATGACAGAAATTCATACATTTAGAAACTGTAAGAAGTAAAAAGCTACAATCTGAGACCAGAAACGCATCACGTAACTGTAAGAGTAAATAATAAT